GACGGCTGAGGGGTGCTACCCCTGCATGATTACTTGGCGACTCCAGCTCTCATGGGACCTGCCCTCAATTGCTAAAAGAGCTCGACCTCTGACAAAGACCAACGATTTCAGCAGTAATTAATGATGCTGTCAAATTAATTAACCCAAGTCTTTGTCCACAGGAAAAAGCCCTCTCATGTCAATATTGCTGTTTACTAGTCCTGGACCAAGCTCTACAGACCTAAACCTTCAGTTGGGACACAAGGACTTCACTGACGGATGACCCTAATAAAGCCCCACCTATTAAGCCACCATCAGTTATTAATAAACCTTCTCACAGCAACATATCCTTTAGTAATATGGCTTTAGTGAATTGAATTAACAGCTCTCCAAAATACTGACACTATTTTAAATAGATAGGAGCCTGAAAATACCAGTGTTTATTTATTCACATTTCCTACCTTATAGATACCCTTTTGAATGATGGTGATGAAACGCTAGACAAATGCTGCAGGGTTTCATTAAGCCATTTAATAAAGAGCCCTCATTAAAATGCCAGTTCCCGGAGTCCTTGTCTATAAGGACTCCAACTCATACAAATGCCCACATATACATTTCCATATTATCTCTTTAGAGGATTCAGAACTATTTTCTTACACCTAACACAGCTTTTATTCCATTTAGAATAATTACCCTCCATCCCATTTCTGACTTTCAAGAAAAACAAGACACTTAATTGACCACAGGAGGACTCTCTCAAGGGCATCAGGCTGCAAAAGCTCTTCTGTAAGCTCACAACTTAAGCTGATGTAATCGGCTCCAAGAAGCTGACTTCTATTTTTAAATTACACCCTTTCACTCTGCCTTCAAAGGGCACATATATCACCCGGTGTAACTGCTCGTAAAATACTGGATGGTGTAGTCTCCCATCCATTTCCCTCCTGGGGAGAATCACACTGTAAGGAGGAGCTTCCCACTGCCGACAGCCGCCCAGCTCTGCCCATTTACATTCATCCACCATTTCCTATTATCTGGTCTTTAGGAGAATAGCTGCATATGGCCACACTCTCCAGGTGTCTTGTTTATCACGGCCATTTTGACAAGGAACAGATGACCAGCAGGGTCCTTCTTGAGGGTTGGGATCCAGCTTTTCCACCTCTTTGTATTTCCATCCCCAAATATAGACAACTTAATAAATGCTTATTAATGTGGCTGCTCAGAGCTGTCATCTGGCCTATATGCTTCAAAGGGTGCCAGAATGGAAACAGTTTATTTGCTTTGTTTAATTTTAAGTTTTTCATCCATCGTTTTGGTCATGCCCACTGTGTGTTATTGGAAAAGTTTATCAGCATTTGGAAAACACTATGAAAAAAGTGTTGGCTGGAGGTGAAAGTACATTTGATCTTGCTATTTATTTATTTATATACTTATTCTATTCATTTCTAAAATGACGGAAGGGCTCCATAATTTAAGTGCTACTATCACGGAGTCTGGGATAGGTCAGAGCAGTACATTTCTCTGGTTTACCGCCATCTTCATTCCATGGGCACCTCGTATCTTGTCTGGGCTTGTACACAAGCCTCCTAGCAGCTCTCCCGGACTGCGGGCTTGGGTCCTTCCAATCCCTTCTCCATATTAAAATCTGAGTGAGCTCGTAAGAACACAAACTGAACCAGGTCCTTCCCTCTCTCAATACCCTTCCATCTCCCCTTAGCCCTCTGGGACCTGTCCCTTCCAGTTCGGCTCGGCTAACCTTTCCAGCCCCGATGGTCTGGGCACTGCCGTTCCCACACCCATTGTGCCTTCTGTGCTCTGGTTGCAAGGACCTTGTAGGTCCTCAGAAGTGCCCTGTTGCTTTCACCCAGAGGCCTGTGTCTGAGCTGCTTCCTCAGCCTGGAACCCTGCTCTGCTGTGCCTACTCCTTCCCACTCATCCTTTGAATCTGGTTTAGATGCCACTTTCTCTGGGCAGCCCCTCCCAGGTGTGGCAGCACGTGCCACCTCAGACAATGGTTTATCATACCACATCACACTTACTTGCTCTATCCCCAAGTGACTACATGCAACAGGAAGGCAGTGATCATGTCTGTTTATTCGCTACTGTATCTTTCCACCAATAGCCCAGCATGCAGTGGGAGCTTCAATGTCATTGGCTGGATGAGTGAATAAATGAATTATTGCATGCTGAAGGTTGCAATCGGGGATCACATTTGTGGGGTATGAATTAGAATTTTGTCTTCCTCAGAAAGTGAGGACTCTGAGAACAGAATGGACAGCAAATACTGTTTTAGTTCAGGATTCATCAGTTGAAATGTTACGGCGGCAGGAGGAGATGGAGACAAATTCCCCATCCCACAGTGACTCTGAGGAGACACGTGCAGCTGGACCGCGCACCCCATTTATGTTTCTATAACACTTTCCTGAGAGGTCAACGGAGAGCTGTTGAAAATGGAATCCTAACTGGAACAAACACTAAAACTTGCTCAAAGTTAAACTTCAAGTTACAAACTCCAAGCGAACAGCTAACTCCACAATTTAAATTCATTCCGAAGAGGGCAGCAAGCCACAAATCAATAATGCTACTTCTTACCTGCAAAACCACGTATGTCAATTTCCAAAACACCATAAGGTCAGTTGCACATGGTGGGAATGCTCTAGAAGTTTGAGAAAACATGTTTTTGGCACTTTCAACTCAGTGGCTGAAATCTGGCCATCGATATGAGTGCGAACTTGGGGACAGGTGCTGGGTTGGCCCTGGGGTTGTGACAGTAGAGGAAACCAGTCTAGTCAGGGGACTTCACGAAGAGTCCAGCCTCATCAAATATTGGGTTGTCGGAAAAGTCATGACGTGTTTTTGCAACGAAAAACAGAAAAAATACGTCATGACTTTTCCGACATCCTAATGTATACTCGCCTTTGATTTCTTAACAACAATTCTTTCCCTAAATTCTAAGTACACCATGTTTCGCTATTAAATTAAATCCAGCACACATGGGACTGTGGAGCAAGGCATCACTTCAGCTACTTCTGCGTGGCAAAGAATTTTTTTTAAACCATATTTTCCAAAATCAACAGATTGATGACACTAAAGAGTGGGTAATGTTTCAACATTCAAACCAAATGACGAAAGGGCTTGGTTTTTATTTCATCCTTACACAGCCAGTAACCACCTTCCAAAACAAAACCAAATAAACACAATTCCACGTGAAATTCTCCTGCCTTCCAGAATCATCATGGGTTTACTTGTATTATCTGGCATATAGAAGGTGCTCAATAAATGTCCACTGAATGACTAAATCACAGGAGAGGCATTACTATGAAAATGCCCTTTTCAATTTTTGGTATGTTCTTCAATTTCCCTTTTTTTCCCCTCTTCGGAAAAAAAATTATGCATAGTATAAAAATTATGCTAGGATTCCTTGTCTGACCTTGGGCTAGTCACTTAAAATAAGTATCATTTTTTTCACCTATAAAATCAAACCTGTGCCTTGGTTATTATGAGGCTTAAAGGATGTAGTAGATAAAAAGTGACTGGCACTACACCCTGCCAACAATGTTTTTCCTCCGTTTTTTCTTTTTTTAACCTCTTCTTTCCATTCCCTGTCCTCCTCCAACTCCCAAATAAAGTGTCAAAGATAAACCAAATTACTGGCCTGATAAGAAAGTCAGGAATTTTCAAATGTAGCCTGGGCTTGCCAACATCTACCTTCAACCCTTGGGAAGTTTTATGTACTATTTTGGGGCCTAGCTCTTCTCTTTGAAGAATGAGCGAGTTGCACTGTTCACTAGCTCATCTTTAAAAGACTTTTCAGTTCCGATGCTCCGTGAGCTCAGGGGCCTGATGTACCGAGAAGTTAGATGCTGCTAACACATTAAGGCCATCTGTGATCAGAAATAAAATGGACTCTGATTTCTTTCATAGAGAGGAATTCTAAATTACAAACCAGAATAAAACTTGACTTTTACAAAAATTTGTTATCAATTGAATATCTAGGTCAAGAATCAGAGACCCTATTCTTAAGCAATAGAAGGTCTTTCCTTTTCTCCCTTCCACATATGCCCCATCCCACACATCCAACGCAACCTACATGGCTAACCTGCGTACCATTGGGCCTTCCCATTCACAGCTCCACAACGATGCACTTAAAAACAAATCCAGGGATTTTAGGGAAAATCAATGAATCACTTTAAATGAGTAATAAGACAGTTGACACAGTATTATGTCAAGCCTAACATTTGCTTGATTTTTTTTCTTTCACACCCTGAAATATATCCAAGTCGACCAAACAAAGAACTACCAAGATTGTATGTACGCAACAAAAAGCCGCATTTTCATAAATACTCAGTGTAGTACTGCCACCTAGTGGTAAGATGTATCCTCCTATGACTACATCTCTAAACAACTAAACTGACACAAGATAGCTTTAAAAACCAAGAGAATAGTGTTCTGCTGCTCGCCAGTGATTCCAGAGAAACTTAGGAGCGTGCCCATCTTCTCAGCTATACATTTTCCTCAGACAAATTTCCAAAGAGGTCTATTACAAGATGGAGTCAATGCCACATTATTTAATCCTATAAGTAAACCCCATGGCTTCTGAACAACTTCACAAAACAAAGGAACATTATTACTCTATTAATTTTAATATCCATTAGCAATTTAAAAAGATTTCTCCAATAGTCTGTTCTCACCTTCGTTTCATTTTATCTAATCTTGATTTTTAGTTATGCATGAAAAAGCATTTAAAAGTGACAACCTTACAAAAAAGTGCACATTGTATGAAAATCTGACTTCAATTAGAACCAGTTACTAAGTTCCAGCAATTTTCAGCTGTCTCTTCGCTCTTATCCTTAGAGAATTATATATCACATTAATTGGTATTCTGTCACATAAAAAGACACTGGCAGTGATTAATTGCATCCTTGGTGCTTTTGAGTTATGTCTTCTTCATTAGAGGGGTTCAAATCACACCTCATTACCTTCCAACAGGTACCCCTTTTGGTAACCCTCATAAAATCCCCTACCTTCCTGAACTTCTCCATTTGCTTGTACAGGTCCGGATCAAGCTCCTGTGACACGTCCTTCATCCATAATAAGGCCCCTCTGTATTCAGTCCGGCACTGCTCCATGCGGTTCACTGTCAGCCAAGTGTCCGAGATGGCCCGATGCCGAAAAGTCTCCACTTCTTGGTGAAATCGACACAGAGGATTTCGCAAGGCCAACCTAAACCAGAGGATAAAAGCCACAATCTTGAAACTAAGAGGGCAAGCAATTTTGAAACCTTGACAGTTTACCAAGCTTAAACTCATGAGCCTAGTGCGGTGCCTGGAACACAGATGATGCTGCAGAAATGTCTGGTGGATTATAATTGAAATGTATGTGAACTGATGAGTCAGCCAGAGATGATTACCCACGTACTAATCCCTTAGGTTACTGTTACTTAGCTGTACTACTGGAAAGTATTTCCGTCGTTTTGTTGGGGGTGGTCTCATGCCTGGGCAAAGAGGACTCCTTTGAAGCTAGAACCAATCCTGTGTTAACAGAGGAAGGTCAAGGCATAACTATGTCCCATGTCTACCCTTGGCCACTCCCTGCTTTCTGCTCCTCTGAAGCGTGGCCCTTTGCGGAGGGCTGGACATGTGTATGATTAGGGTCCCCCTGGCTAGGCCATTGTGGATTACTCTCCAAAGGCCTGGGCATCTGCTGCTTGCTCCAGTAGTCCAAGAATGAAGCACAAACAGAAGCATTTGTAAATGGTCGAGGAAGGGGGGAGAAGTACATGTACTGAGGATTTACTATGTTAGGCACTCAGATAGGTTATGTGATTTGATCTTTATTAAAAAACCAAAACTTATATAATGAAGTGGGTGTAAAATAATTATATTGGTCATAACATACCATTACTTATTCAGCAAAAAATAATGTTTGAAACATATCAAACTTTGGATAAAATATCTATGGGTGTGGGGGTGGGGGCAGAATACTGTTCGCTCCACCTTCTTACCCCAAACGAGTAATGCCAGATGTATTGCAGTCTTATAATACAGTCATCTCCATGAAGTCGTGGGCAAAGATTAAAAAAAAATAATAATAATAAGATGAATATTTGCATTTCAATTTAAATGTAAACTATTCTATGTATAAGGAACAATGGTGTTAGTGAGTAAAGTCAGGTCTTGGCAGTTCCACCAATGTCTGCAATGCCTTATATGCATATAACAGTATAAGATTATAGATACAAATGATACATTGTTTAAGAAAAAAAATCCTTTTTACTATTTTCATTAGGTTTTCCTTTTGTCTACAAAGCACTGGTTTTAAATATTCAGCAGTTCTCTACAAAAAAACTTGCTGACATCATCCTACTGAGGTGTTGCTGGTTGGCTTCAAAGACATATTGGTGTGTCATAAAGTAAGTGCGTTATCACCACTGGATTAAGTTGAACACTCACTGTTCATCAAATTGAATGAGCGGTTGACTAGCAAGTATGGCAGGAAAACAAATGCGAGTGTGAAGGTTTATACAACTGAAGACTTCTATTTAAAGGGAGAAACAGTCCTCAGCTGCCCCCCTAAGAATCCCGTTCAGTTCTGGATATCTTTTTCTCTTCCTTTGGATTTTGCCATCTTTCCTAAACAGGTTGAATAAAACAGTCTCAATTTCTTTGACTGTTGTAAAGTTGGACAGAAACCTTTGAAGATGTAATAACATGATGATAGATACTAAGGTCTTGAAGAAAACAAAAAGGCATATAAAATCACCTCATTTCCCCCCCTGTAAGTTCCTTTGAATAAGCTCAGGTAAAAACCTCTTTACTTGTGGTACCAGGGACTGAGTCTAGATCAAAGAAAATCTCAATAACCGGAACCATTAAGCTTCAGTGAAAGACTGGCCCATGTTTTCATTCATGAAAACCTACCCAGTGGGAATAATTAATAAAGTGCCTAAAGGTATACTTCAAAGACATCTGTCCTTTAGTAGGAAAAGGTGGAAGTGACCCAAGTAGTGGACAGCAGGGCTTGGGTTAAATGTATCATGGCATATCCAGGTAATGGAATACGATGTTATGGGTGTTTAAGAAAAAATGCATATGTGGACATAAAACGGTGTTAATGCTATTTGATCAGAAAAATTAATTTGCTAAATAATCAGTATGTGATACTATACAAAAATTGTATGATATGATGCTGTTTATATTAAAATATGTTCCGGCATATCCCAATATGTCCATTCAAGGTCTGAGAATTCAATTTCATGTGAGTTTTATGTAGTCTTCCTATTTTCTTCAAGTTTAGGAGGTCTGGCCTGGATTTTATGTGCCTGGGAAGCAGCTGAATGCCATGAAACTAGAGCCATCTTACAGGAGGCCACCTTCCAAGCTGCAACGTTGTTCAAGTTGCATTAAATTATGGATATAGCGCAGTTTGCTAGATTGTACAGTGATACTTTCAAGTATCATTTTTAATTTCTTTTACTGTTTATGTCTGTATCCAAAGATTAGATTTTTATAAACTTAAGGTACCATATATCCTTTTGTGAGATAATTTGGTAAACAGGTATGAAAGGTTATCTGTTGGATAGACAGGCATATTATAAAGTAATTATGTGATCACTAATGATAATTCTTGTAATGATTGTGTCCAGGGATTTGACTTTATTAATAAATGGATGTTAATTTTGGCATACAGGTCTAAGATTTTTCCCACTGAAATAAGTGATAATTATATGTTTGACATATGAGAATTTATGAAAAATCTTTCAGGAATCAATTACCCTTATGAGGCTGGGGAAAATGTATATGCAGAGAAAGTATCAAGGGATTAAAAGTGGGTCATCTCTATTAGCAAAATTTTAGTGTTTTTTTTTTTAAATTTTCTCCTTTTGGTTTGTCTCTGTTTTAAAATTTTTCTAGAATGAGTGTGTATTACTTTTACAAGGAAAAAAGTTATAAATAATATTAAATAGTGCAATTCAAGGTTATAAAGAAACATTCTTCTTGGGAAAATGGGTAGAAAACTATTAGAAACGGTTTCATTCAACTAGGAAAGTTGGCATTGCCCACAAGGTAAGGGTCCAAATGCCATTAGGAAGCAGCAAAATGCCCAGGGGGGGGGCCACTGAAAAACTGGCACAATTGGTCTCTTTTCTACTCCACCTTTCTTGAGTTTTCCTAGGAACACGTGTAGAGCAGGCCAATGGCCTGCTCTTGACCCAGACGGAGAAAGCAGTAAGAAGAAGTTACCAGAAAAAAAATGTTGGACAATCTAAGTGAAATTTTTGTAGCCTGGGTATTTTTGGAAACCACCTATACGCCTTACTTGGGTATAATCCTGCCTAATATTAGTGAGTGACGTTTTTGAAGGCTTGCTCGTCCCTGGGGAGGGAGGACGAGAGGAGTGTTGATTTCCCAGACACAAAGCGCAGCTGGATTCAGGGGCTCCTGCTTATTCTACGCTGACCATAAACATGAGTCACGGTAGTGTTAGAAAAAGAGGTCATTGATCTACCACAATTGTCTCTGCACCAGGGCTCCTCAAACTTGAATATGCACTGACATCCACTGGGGGGGTCTCATTAAAATGCAGGCTGGGATTCAGCAGTTTTGGGGTTCGGGGCCTAGAGTTTGCATTTCTAACACATTCCCAGGTGAGGCTGCTGACATGGCTGTCCAGGGTCTGAGCAGAACGGTTCAGGGCATCCTGAATATCACCTCTTTAAAGTGAATTGGTCCACCGAGAGTAGAGAAGGAACGCTTCCACCTGGTCTCATTAGGCTCCTGCCTTAATCAGCTGCTTGGAAGGGGACCAGGCTGATTGCTGTGAGCAATGATGAAGGTCAGCTAGAAGCCTAGGGCAGCACTCAGTGACCGGGTGTAAAGTGCCCCCTATAGACCAGAAGAATAATGAAAAAAATTGTTTTTAATAGGGAGAGGGAAAAAAATCATACCTGTTATCTTCATCAGAGAGTAAATACAAACAGACTAACAACTGAGAACAGAGCAGCTCCTCAGTCTCAGGCAAGAGCCTTTTAAAGAACACTGGGTAGGCGGCCGGGTGGCTCAGCTGATTAGAGCGCGTGCTCTGAACAACAAGGTTGCCGGTTCAATTCCCGCATGGGATGGTGGGCTGACTCCCTGAAACTACTTTGAAAGTGGTGACTGGACGTGGAGCTGAGCTGTGCCCTCCACAACTAGACTGAAGGACAACGACTTGACTTGGAACTGATGGGTCCTGGAAAAAACACACTGTTACCCAATTTAAAAAAAAATTAAAATAAAAAAGAACACTGGGCAATTTCCCTTCAAGAGTGAATGGGTCCCAGGATCTCAGTGGATCCCTCAAATAGAGCCCCAAAGGAAGGCCACACACCTTTGCTGGGAAGAAAAGCAGAGGGCCTTCCCTGTCGCTTGCATCATTTTTCCTGCTCTGGTTTTATCTTGGAAGCCTTGGGATCGGAGAAATTTTCCCAGTTCGTTTTCTTCTTGAGACAAGACTGTTGAAGAAAAGACCAAAAGGAGCCATGAAACAATGAGCATGTTTATTACAGAGAGAAGGAGAGGGACAAATCACAAGGTCCTCTCTCTTCTAGAGTCAAAGACCAGATGAAATTAAATCCAAGTGACAGGCTACAAGGTAAGCTCCCCACCCCCTCCATTTAACTTTCAGGCTGTTCTTCCATTTACAAAACGAGAGATCAAATTCACTTGAGTACATCTGTCAGTGCGTTTGGTGCCCTGTAATCAGAACCAGAAAGTGACCTCTGTACTGGAAAGTGAGCCGATAATGTGCTGCTTCGAAGTGAAATAAAAACGTTGAGTTTGTCAAGTGTGACTGTGGGAATCTTTGGTGGCCGCCTGTAACGTAGGGCCCGTTTCCTCCTGTTATTCTCTCTTGCTGACTTTTTTATTTCTGTGTGCTAACTCACATTCTATTTGATTGGAAAGCAGACCAAATACCTTATCCATGATGTTAAGTTTTTGGTTGGAGGTGGTGTTGGAGGGTGAGAGTGGGTGGGTAATCAGGTTGATGACTTGGGTTTTTAAAATGCAGAGTTGGAACCAAATCTGCATTGGTTATGCCTAATCTAGGCTTTTTTAAAAAAAAAAATTGATGTACAATTGACATACATTATATTAGTTTCAAATATAAAACATAATGATTCAGTACTTGTATATATGGGTCCTTATTTTTAAAGATAACTTCAGATGGTACTACTGGTGAGATAGTGACTGGTGCAAACTTTCTACAGATTGATTCAGCAGTAAATATAAGAAATCGTAGAACTGTGTCTCTTTGGACATTGCACTTCTATGAGGAGTGCTTCTTAAAGAAGTAAAATGGGCACAAAGATGTATATACAAAGATAATCATAGCACCGTTATTTACAACAGCAAAACACTATCTTTCCCTATAGTGGAGACTGATTTAATCATCCCCAGCACATCCACCCAATGAACAGTGGGCTGTTATGCAGCCACTGGTCTCAACTACACACTCACCAACAGCTGAGCAAGGAGCGACAGTGAGCTCCATAGAGTGTTTTTTCCCCCGAAACACAGCATTTACTATGGACATACTTTGAACACTACTCTTATTGCTCACATTTCTGTACTGATGCATTTATACATCATTTGTCTTTAAAAATGCTTTTGAAACGCTACTAGGATTCTTGTCTGTTTTCACGAACCATCCAGACTTCTTTGAGAAGGCACCCGATTCCTGACACAACCTCTCCAATGATAGTTGCAGAAGGTTAGCCAGGAACCCTGAGTCCAAGGGGGAAGGTTAAACTCTCTACTCATTCCTTATGAATCTGTGACTGTGGTTCATTCTACACATTCCAGAGGAGAGGCTTGTCGAATCCATTCTTCCTGAGAGAGGAATGACTGACTACTGTCCTTCCTCTTCTGTCTCTCAAAATTAAGTTCATTGGTCCAAGTCCAGCTGAAAGGCCACTTCTTCTGTCAAGTAGTTGACCCCCATTTCTCCACCACAGCAATGCCCTCTCAGCACCTCGTATCAGAGAGTTTGTGGGTGGGCGTGTGTCTATTGCTCAAGAGACTCTAAGCTTTCTCAGGACAGGGACCGCATGTAAACTATGGACTCCCCAGGTAAATGCTTGTGAAATTGAATTAACTATAATTTTTGCCTTGTGACCCCCGTATACTTTATTTCACTTTAAATGCTTATTCGGTATGTATGTCCTGGTGCCACACAGCTTAAAAATAATGCCTATAATTATAAGGAGTTTTGTTGTGTTGTAATACCTTTCATGCCTTCTCCTCTCCATTAATATGGGATTCACTCAATTCCACAACGAATCTTTCCCTATGGAGAGCAATTTCACATTTTGGTTCATAACAGCATGAGGCGACAGTCACCATTTTTTTTTTAAGTTGAAGCCTTGAGTCACATACAAATGAACACATTTAGCGTAAGGCTAAGAAGAAACCAATTCACGGGACCTGAATGATTACACTGTAGGAAAGAGTGAAATTGCACCCTTTCCTAAATAAACCTAAGTAGGTTGAAGCATTTGAGAAATCATTTTTGGTTA